TGCTGAAATATTATTTCACTGTGTATATTTCATAATTCCTCATCTTAAAGAGCTGAGAGCTATGGAAAAGTGCCTTTAGTATTTTAATTCTAAGTAAATTAATTCTTTTCTTCAATAAAATGAGGGTTCTTAGATCCTTAAGTTTGCTATGGATGGGCTTTTACAAAAGAAATAACTAGCCTTGATCACCTGCAATTCTTTTCATCTAGACCCTCAGCTGGGAAGGGATGAATGAGTCATAGGGTCAAACTTCTTTGCCATCATGAGAGACAAAACGTATGTAATCAGGCAGGTCTGTGGTGCCACCCCACAGGTATTTGTTAGTCAGAAATCACCCTCCTTTCTGCACTGATATTTTTTCCTTGGCACTGATTTTTTTTCAGCTTTTGAAACAGTTTCATACTAAGAAAAGAACGAACTGTTGCCTACGAAAATGTTTTTGTCTAGATTGGCATTATGAGGAAAACAGCTCAGGTTTTGCCTAGTAGAAGCGTTTTGGAAGATACAAAGGGAGAAGAGATTTGATTCTGCTCTTCAATTAGTCAGGGAAAAGCAGATGCAGTACTGCTGAAATCAGTGAAGTTAAACTTGAGTGAGATCACAGGCAACCCTAATGCGTTAAAGTGAGCAAGGGTTCATGTACAGCATAGTTTAAACAACCATCAAGTTTAGCTCCCAGGTAGAAATCCACCACTCCTGCATCCCAGAGTGGCTATCCTGCTGTGCAGGGATTACTTATTAAGCCCTTTTAGATAAAAGAGATTTGGCAGGGAGTGTTTAGACTGAAAGGGGCCAGGACAGGAGGTGTAGAATAAATTTTGTTTTCTGATCTACTATCCCCAATGACTCACAAATCTTTTCTATACAGATCTTGCACCCAGAGAGAACAACCAAGGGTAAGAGATATAGTTCTATCGCTGTGTGCTGTCTGGGCTCCATGGCAATTTCCAGAGACAGGCAGAGCTAAGAAGCCTTGTGCCTTGGTTTCCTCTTACCATCCCTTTCCCTGATCTTCCTTTCCAGTTGTCTCACTGCTTTGACCAGTGCTGATCTCAGAATGGTGATGGGGTTGCTTACGCTCCGAACATCTCTCAAGGAGGTGCTGTGGGTGTTTCACCAAGGCCACTCTAAGGGAATAATTCTGGGGCCTACATAAAATTCCAGATTTAGATCATTAGATTGCAACGTTCTTCAAGCTGCTCATTTGTGATGGGAAAGGCTGAGAGTGGGAGGCTTGGCTGATGTTGAGAGCAGGCAATGCACAATGGGACCAAACATCACTGAAGTGCTGGGATCATAGTACTGCTGGTACTTTTGTCGCAGGTGGAAGATATGGCCAAATGACTTCAAAAGAAATTATTTGCCTGGCCAACATCCAAAGGTGGTGTACCTCCTGTATGAAATCAGGTGGAGCAGAGGTACCATCTGGAGGAACTGGTGCTCAAACAATTCTACCCAACATGCTGAAGTCAACTTCTTGGAAAATTGTTTCAAGGCAATGCCATCAGTTTCTTGCTCCATCACTTGGATCCTATCTACTACCCCCTGTGGGAAATGCTCCAGAAGAATTCTGGAGTTCCTGAGGGTACATCCCAATGTGACCTTGGAAATATACGCAGCCAAGCTGTTCAAGCACCTGGATATCCGTAACCGGCAAGGTCTCAGGAACCTGGCAATGAATGGAGTCATTATACGTATTATGAATCTTGCAGGTAACCCAACTACTCTTTGGGTTTGTCTAGGTGTGGATTGAAAGTTCTGGGATTATGTGCACTCTCAGCAGTTGTGCTTTGTAATAGTGGTGATGACTGGCATTAGGGAGTACTAGTGAGTGCAAAAATGCCACTCTCTTCTGCCTTATTTCTTCCCCAATCCCATACAGCAGCAGGACCAGCATGGTCACTTCCTCTTGCCAAATCTGAACAAGGAGAGTTATGTCTTTCTCTAGCCATCCATGCCTCCTTTATATACAGTGAAAAATTGTGAGCATAAGATAGAGCTGTGCCTCCTAGCATATATATGCAGATCAGCTTGCCAGCTGCAGCAGTTGGTTTCCTTTGGCAGCTGGAGAAGAGAAGGAGACATATCTAAAGGTGACTTTCAGATAATGCATCACAGAGGACAATTGCGTCTTGCATGTGTGTCTTTTTGTATGTATATCTTGCTTGCCTGTTGATGTTTGGCTGTAAAAATAGTCCAGACAAGTAGCTCACAGAAAGGAATGTACATTTGAAGAGGTGAATCTCACATACCTGTCTGGACACTTACTACTGGAGTGTGCAGCTACAAAACCTACTAGGTCAAATGTAAACTTAAAGGAGATTGCTTATCTTGGGGAACCTGTCTCTGGGATTATACCACCAGAGCACTGACAGAAGCTCTGGCCATCCTATCAAAACTAAGATCAGTATGAAACTGCTAAATGTAGGGTCGTCACTCCAGGCTTTTCCTGATCATCGAGATAAGTCAGACAGATTCATGACCGAAGCAACAAGTTTATTGTCTTACCCAAAGCTGCTGTGATCAAGCACAAGGCTGCCAAAAAGTATGCCTGAACAGCCCTGATTGCATGTGCCACTTCCCTTTTCGGTCCCTCCCAGAGAAGCAGCCTGCCGCTCACTGGTTCCTTCTCGCTTGGCCAACGTGCTCTGGCTTTATGCCCTGATGTGCTATCTGTGGTAGGTGTTGCCCAAGCCACCCTAGTGATCTCTCTCTCTCTGGCAAGTCCCCTTTTTAGACATATTGCTATTTGTAGAGTTTTGGTTCCCCTTTCCACTAACTTATTTGTGTAGTTGCAAGTCATGGTTGGTCCCTTGCATGAATACCCTCAGATGAATATCTTTCTCCTGCCCTTTACCGTTGTCTTACTGAGAAAGAAGTGACTCACTGACATATTCATGAAGAAAGAACTGGGCATGCCTTTCATCAATAGTGACTGGATATCTCTCTTCTCAGATTACAGTTACGGGTGGAAAAGATTTGTCGCATACCAACGTGGAGAAGATGATTATTGGCCCTGGAGCTTCGCTTCATACATCCTTCTGAATTGGATGGAGCTCTATCATATCCTTTCGGTTAGTAGGCACTTGAAGAAAATGCTGAGAGTGAAAAATAATACAAAATCCTGGGAAAAGGAGGTTTGGAGGATCCTGGCAATGGTGTTAGCAGAAACGATAGTAGGAAAAAAAAAGCATGGGCTTGATGCTGCATGAACAGAGGGCCAAGCAGGCAAGAGATTGCCAAGGACTATGCTGCTACATTGTGCCTTTGTGACCAGGAGTAGAGAAGAGATTTAGCAATACTCTCAGGTTTTTTACTAAGGAAAGGGTAAATTATTTCAACCCTTTACATGTATGAGCTACAAGTTCATTAGCTTGCAGCTTACTGGAGCTGTTTGATCCCAAAAGCTCATTCAGCTGTGTAAACATGATTCAAGTACACTCTTTTTGCCTCTCAGGACAGGACACTGATTTTAGTTAAGTTCTGATCAAGCACAAAAGCCCAGATCAGTGGATTCACTTTCAGGATCACAGCTTACATATAAGAGTATCATACGACTGAGATCTACATTCCCTATTTCTTGCAATCCATACAACCGCAGAAGTTATTTGCACGGCCTGATATCCAACTATACAAGAAAGAGAAGGTGGTCTACTGAACAGGAGAGAAGACCAGGACTGGAGTTAACTTCCTGGCTCAGCCACCCTTTGCAGGGCAAGCCAGTTCTTGCTTGAACTGGTCCCTATATGTAGAATGGGGGCTAGCAGAATGGATGGCAGGAGATAGAGTAGGGAAGCACAGAACTACATAATACAGACAGGAACTTAAAGTCTAGAAGGAGAAAAACTAATCTATTTGTAGGATGCTATAAATGCCTTGTTTTATTTCTGGCTGAGGAAAAGGAATACATTAGACTTCACTTCAGTTCCATCCACCCCAAGGTGGTCTTCTAATACCTCAAGACCTGACCTTTCTAGTTCTGTCTAAATAAGACATTCCGGTGACAGGATACACAGTCAGTGGCATTATCCAGCCAGTCAGCTGATCTAACAAAGTAGTTAATGCAATGTAACTGTTTAGGAGATATTTTTCCCTTGGCTTTCAGCCTTCCTGAGTCTCCTAATGTCTGAGACGATGATTAAATAATTTAGCAGCTTACGCACAATCAAATGTATAGTGTGATGCTTACCAGGGAGCTGAACAGAGGTGTCTGCTAAATGCTTGTGAGTACCAACAAACTACAGCCAACTCAGCATAGTTCCCTGGGCAGCAGTACAAGGTGAATATGCCCTTCAGATCTTGGTTTTAAAAAGCCAGCTAACAAATGACCTGTTCCTCCCTGTGCCCCTGGCAACCTTGTTGATTACTGCAGAGTCCTGGTGAATAGGGCCCATTATCAGTAGTTCTGACTAACCACCAACCCTCCCCAGAAGGAATGGGAAGGTCTGTGTGCTCAGCCCTTGTGAACATCCAGCCCCATTTTCCTAACTGTGCATGGTCAGATAAGTCCCATTGACCATTGCCAGCTGACACAATTCTTGGGGCAGACCAGGACCCCCTGAGTGCAGAGGTGTAATGAGGAGAGTTCATTCCAGGCACATGCTCCAGAGAAATACAGACAGTTGTGTCAAGTCCTGACCTCCCTGGCACAAGAAGGACCCTGAGGAACCAGAGAGGATTTGGTGGAGTACCACTGCAATAGTCAGGGTGCTGGAGCACTTGCCCTACAAGGAGAGGCTGAGGGCACTGGCTTTGTTAGGTGTAAAGAAAAGAAGGCTAAGTGGGATATAACTGCAGTTTTCCACTACATAAAGGTGGCGAAGACAAAGCCAGGCTCTCCTCAAAGCTGCATAGAGGGAAAATGAGGCGACAGGCACAAGCTGTGACAAGGGAAATTCTAGACAGAAGGAAAAAGTCTCCCTCGACAGTGGTGCTGTACTGGAACAGGTGCCCAGAGAGGCTGTCAGACCTCCATCCCTGGAGACACTGAGAAGTTTCCTCTGAGCTGCCTGATCTATTTTTGGAGTTAGCCATGCTGCAAACACACTGTTGGACTAGAGACCTCCAGAGGGCCTTTCTCACGCCCAAAATTCTGCCTTTCCACAGGATCTAGCTCCACTTCCCCTGGATTCAGCTACACAATCTGCCACCTTTTAAATGCTTCTGTTTCTGAGTTGTCTGTCTTTCTAGGAGGGGTTTACACGGCACAGTAAATTCCAAGGTGCTACTCTTGTCTGGAAAGCTGAGTCCCAAGGGAGATCATCTGACATGCTGAAGGTGGATCAGAGCAATCTCTTGGACTAGATGCTGTATTTTCAAATTCTGGATCATGTTTAAGAAACAACTTAAGCTTTTGGCACCTAATTTTTAATGTTCATGTTTCTTTCTTCCTGCTAGGGGCTTCCTCCATTGCTGGCAAACTTTGAATACTAACAAGCATCAGCAGCATGCTTTCCAGCTCACTTTGTGCATCATAACATTATTTACAAGACTGGAAAAGCCAGTCCCTGGAAGTCTTCTATGGAAGCCTTGAACTATGAGCTCCATACTGTCAACAGAGAAGACTCTTAGCGATGGTTGGGCATTGATTGCGCATTGGTTGGGCATTGGCATCTGATTCTGCAATCAGATTCTGCAAGTACCCTCTTGAGAGGCCAGCAAGTAACATTTTTCCTGCTTTGATCTCTTCCAAAGAAGTAATCAGAGCAATGCATTCTGGTTTTGAGAATTTCTTATGAAGATCACTTTTACGGTTATGTGTGTATATTTCAGAAAATACTTCATGCTATTAGTATTTGTGTAATATTATTATTATTATATTACTGCTTTTATATTATTTATTACTGTATTATATTACAATATAATAAGATTATGTTACTGAGGATTATATTGATTCATTTTAAGGTCTTATTCTCCCTGTTTTTATGACTGTAGAAACAACAGAATAAAAGTTAAAATGTCAACTCTGTGGAAACTTTGCTTTTCTTGTTCAGTTCCTGGGCACACATCCTTCCCTTGTAATTCCACACTCTGGAGTCCCAGCTGTTCATTTGCAAACTGGGCGAACACAGTAAAAAGCCTCTGCTTTTCCAGCTGGAAGCACTGACTGGAATGGTGAGGTAGGAGATATTGAAAGCTCTGAGCTATCTCTACAGGCAGAAGTCAAAAAGAAGATGCAGGTGCGTTGGGCCTTGCAGAGTTTTCAGTCTGTGCTGCAAATAATGCAAAACATCTGAATGAACCATGTTGGGAGCTCCATATTTCATGACTCCCAACCCCTCCAAGCAGGAGGCCTGTTGTGTGATCCCACTGGGGAATGTGCTGCTGCTGGGATCTGCAACATACAGGCACAAATGTTTAATTGACGAATAAGGCAGGGGCTGGTGGGAACCATGCCTATCTCTTCTAGTTGATTAATGCTTATAGCATCCTTTCGCCACGCCAAAGTCTCCAGATGTTTAGCAGACAATCAAGACAGGCAGAAAAGTTGCAGGCTGAGGAAGCAGCTCCAGCCCCTGCTGTCTGAGAGAGTATCTAAAGCTGAGTGCAGCTGGCTGCGGAGTGTCTCCTACGTTAACCGAATAAAATTACTCCAAGCAATGTATAGTGTGGCTGAAGTTTTCTTCCCCCTGTCCAGGTCCTCAGGCTGGATGTCACATGCTTTCTTTCTGGCCATTCTAGTGTTAACTCTTTGTTTCCTTAGGGAGAAATCAAATCACTCGATCAACATGTAGTTGAGTACACCGGGGTTCATAACCATTCAGCAACATAACCTGTAAGTTGCTGGTCTGCTGTGGAATGTGGCAACTGGATTTGAGCCTGATCAACATATGTATCTTCAAACATCTTCATCTGTGTCTTGCTACAGAAGTTAGCTGAGTCCCACCTGAGAACCTAGAAAGTACAACAGCACAAAGCTATACAACTCTGTGTAGCGTCCAGCAAAAAATGGAAACCCTAAGTGTTAACAAAATCTGCAAGACCTGAAGACCCATCCATATCTCTTGCCATAAATACTTAAGCATCATAGAATCTTACAGCTTAGCATCGCACAGAGAAGACTTAACCCATAGCAGTGTGGAAATTACTGACACATTGCTAGGTCACATGAAATAATCTAAAAATGCTGGCAGGTGTTGCTATGTTTCTGTACCTTAGAATAAATATGCAGTCAGACTTTGACCTTGGAAAGGTCGGAGCTCAGTGTACCTAAAACTCCAGCTCTCTGGAGGAAGATGGCAGGTTGGATGGCCCAGGTCTTTAGAGTAGGATGATGATATTGCCTGGAGATTAAATGAGATGTGAATTTGAATTAGGAGGGGAAAGTGGCTTGATGGGAGAGAATTTATTTGAGAAGACTCAAGAAAGAGAACAGGAGCCTTCTGTAAGTAGCTGTAGGTGAAGAGGATTAGACGATCCAGAAGCTAGGGATCTGTGAACCACATTGTTCTACATGAGAAAGGTCCAGTAGTCCAGTAAGGAATAATATATACCAGCGCAAAGTTTATCTTAATCCTCTAGCAGCAATATGGTGACCTGCTCCAAATTAATTACTTTTTCCTGCGGTATCATCTGAGGGTGAGCACAGACCCTGCTGTGAATCCTCCAACTTTGTTCCTGACAGTCCAAGGCCCATCTCAGTGAACTATTACCATGAAATAGTTTTCCTGCAGGCAAGGTAGAGGACAATGCCTTTACTGCAGGACAGAGGGGTTATTCCTGGCATGCAAAGAGGTACCCTTCTTGCTTTGAACTTCAGCTAATACTCATCTGTTTAGCCCCAGGCCAGAGAGCCTTGGATGAGCGTGGGGTGGTGGCCAAGGGAGAAAAGTGAGGGAGAAATCAGGATATACCGCAGAACAACAGAGGACAAAATGATCGATGAAGGAGGAAGAAAATGAGATCCCATTAGGCTCCTCAGTTTCATTTAACATGGGTCTCTGCAGCATTATCCAGTGCAGCTTCTCTCAGACAGGTGGTGGAGTAGGTGTGATTCTCTTCAGGTTGTGAGGAATGCCTTGGGGATTAATAACAGTAGGTCAGCACTAGCAAGAATATGAGATGGGTATGCAACCTGATGATTTTTGGACACACATCTTGGAAGCTGTTGGGCCTACTCCTGTTCCATCATCCTATCTCAAAGCAATATTGGCAAGTGTCCACTGGCTCCAGTGGGTTCCTGCACAGGGATGTGCTGTTTGATGTCCCTTTTCAGCTCCCTATAGTTACAGTTAGAGTTTTGACTCTCTGACTGTTACTCCCAAAACAAATGTTTTCATTTGTCGTCCCCTGTAATTATCTGGTTTTCTGTCCAACTTCTTGTTTGTTTTTTCCTCCTTCTCAGAAGGGCTAATCAGTCTTTCTAGAAGTCCCAAAAGAGAAACACAGCAACAATGGGTTCCTGAAAGTGAAATACTAGGGAAGAGAAGAACAAAGTGAGAAGATGTAATACTTCGCGCCTGCCACACTCCCAGGCTCCAGCTCTCTTCAGCTCTTCCTAGGCCAAATGTGGTTTCTGAGTATTCGGTAGCCCTTTCTGAAGCATAAGCAGCTACACTGCTGTTCTGGGAGAGGAAATGGAGCAGCATCTTGGAGACAGCTGAAAGCAGAGACAGCATTTTATGGAGGCTGTAACAACTCCAGCTGGAGTGTGATCAGGGTCCTGTGGCCCTGCCCCAGTACAAGTGAGTCTGGATCAGAGGGGTGAACCAGAGATGTGCCCATTTGCTCGGGAGCAATCCTAGTCCATTAAGCAAGAACTGTGCAGTGGTGATGGTCCTGTAATGTGTAGGACTGTCACTAAGGGAGCAAAAGGACACGTGATAAAGCAGAAATGATGAACAGGGCAGTGTGAGCGATGGTGCCATACTCCTAGTGGAGCCTGGACTCTGAAGTGAACAGTGACACAGGCTGATACCCCCACCTCCCCCAGTCACATCTGGCTGGGGATAGTTTCTTGCTACAGCTGAGCACCGGTGCATAATGAGGCAGAGATCTCTGGCACCCCCATCCCTGTCATGGGTCACAGTTCTGCTACTGCTAGTGTCAGCTCTGGTCATTAACAAGTCATTCAACTGCACAGAAGTGCCTGGATTAACTGAAGTGCACGGACTAATTTTTATGAATTAGCCAGTGTGCATGGTTCTTCATGAAAGGCTCAACCCTTTCCCACTGAAGGCAGGAGGACAAACTTTCCCTGGTCCATTTGGAAGCTTGCCAGTTCAAAGTCAGCCCAGTGAAGTTTTTTTTACACTAGTTGTAGCTGTCAGAGTGAACTTGCAATCTGCTGTATCCCTGCTGTGCTCCTGCTGGCGTGTAAGGGCCTAGAGGTGGGACTACCACACTGCTAGCCTATAGAGGTAACCACACAAGAGAGCAGGTCTACTCTCATCTTCTTCTCTCCCTCCGGACTGGTAAAAACATTGTTCCAGCTTGCAGAGTGGGCTAGTTCTTAACTGTGATTAATAACAAGATTATAGCACGGAGACATCAACATCCTTCCTGCCCTGGAACTTGGGTGCCACCTGCACTCACCCATGTGAGGAGACAGGTCCCTTGCAGGCAGGAAGATTACCTCTCAGTATTAGCTCCACACCTTTGAAAGTCCCATCAGTCCTTCAACTGGTATGCTTAATAATAATAATGACAACAACAGCAGCAATAATGGTGTTTTAGCTATATCTTATGCAGGTTTGGAAGCCTGAGGGGAAACCTGCCTATCACAAAGTGTATGAGAGACTTAAAAGCCAAAGGCAGCCTTCAAAATACTTGCCATACTTTGGCACCTACCTTTCTGCTCTGACCTCTGCTCTTGCAACAACCCGCTTTCTCCCTCCCCTTCAGAGGCTCTGCTTACCCCTGCTGGCATTGTCAGAACAAATGGTCTCTTCTGTGCCAAACCCCTCCACATTTCTTTTGCGAACCAAATCTGATTTCCATCGCTGCGAGGATTTAATACATATGTGATTAAATAATGAAATTTCTGCTCATAGAAACACCAAAGGGTCAGCACCAGGGAGGGAAGAAAAAACTACTCGAGCTAGAGGACAATGTTGGACTCGAATACATATAGGCTAAAAACCCCTGAAGGGGCAAGTAGCAGGGGACTGGACTCCATGACCCTGAAGCCCCTTTCTGTCCTGGTTTCCAAGTACCAGCATGCGGGAGAGGGAGAGAGAGCAAGCAGGGGGGAGACATGCGGGAGAGGGAGAGAGAGCAAGCAGGGGGGATACATGCTTTGAAAATCCCCCTTGTATTTGTAAGGGCCTGGAGCGTGTCTTTGCATTGTTTAATGGTAATCTGTT